AGCAAGCATAGCAAGCTGAATGATGTATTCAATGGCACAGACCTCTTGTATGCCGTGAGTGGCTCGTACAATACACGCCCTGTTGCAACAACCCATGAAACACGGTGATCCAAAACTTGGTTGAGATGAATATAGAGTTGACGCAACACGTGCAATACATCGAAGCGTATTTACCTGCACCAGCCATCAATACATTTACACCAACGCCTGTTGATACATCGACCTCATGCCCCCATGCAACGTTGGATCCAAACAACGTGAGAGATGTAAACACCGGGGGGGGTCTAGGCGGCGCAATAACTTTGGTGTCTGTGTGGTTTGTTTGGTTCACAAGCAAAGTCGACATCTATGGACGGAAGGAATGATCAGAATGCAAGCAGCTTGTCAGCTTCATGTGATTATTCCTTCCACACGTTTACAGCTTGGTACCTGGCTGGTTCCCCCGACTTTCGCACCGACGTTCTTCACTATGGTGGAGGTGCTGAAACTGAGATCATGGGATGTTTCGTTCAACGTCAAGTTATCTCCAAATCCGCCGGAACGGCCCTCAAGGCGCTTCGCGCCATGCATCGAAATGGAGACCTGGATGATCGCATCTTACAGTTAGCGTACTACGTTTATTGAATGGGGTTGGACGCGGATCACCGATCGATCGCATATGAGAACGTTGCGCGAGCTCTAACGTCAAGGCGTTGTTACGATATGATTCAGTCGTTGAGATATTGTTGACTCAAAAATAGTTCTTCGTACATCTAACACTGCGCATGCACTAATGAACCAATCCGATCCACGCATGAATCATAAATATATCCTCAATGTTCAAGTACATATACAATACTGAGTTCATACTACTATACCAATCCGGGTGCCAGCATGCGCTTCATCCTCATATTTCACTGGGCATGCCCCACGCCGTCCACCGCCAACATCGCTAGTGTTCACTGACGCTTCTAACACACGTTAACTATCATTTAACATGATATAGAGGTAAATACGATTGTATACAAGTGGGGTCGAGGCGTGTGGGGTCGAGGGTGACTTGCGAGAACCGGTTTGGCCGACGCAGATGTCCTCCCAAGAACTTACATTGTGTTTGTGTGGCGAGTGTGTGGATTGGCTAATACTGCCCGACTACACCAGCTACACATGGAAATACAATGGTTCAAACATGTCAGAGTAGTGTGCTCATGATCTGACTATATAATAATGGCATCATTATATATCGTAGATTCAATCAAAGCCTTCATACACAATGATCACATACATACTGCACTCGTTACTACTACTAGTAGTACTGTCCACTTGACTGGTTAACGCCTCACGCAATCAAGTGGTAATGCATAATAGTACAAGTAAGAAAACAAGCAAAAAACCCCGAGTAGCGGGGTATATGTCCGGCGTTCTCGCGAAAAACAATAAATATCCTACGTAAATGTACTGTACCTTCCACATGAATTCGGATATGCTGGTTCAAGTGATTTACGTGTGGGGAAGTGAGGGTTTCAGATTCCTAAAAATACATGAATACGTGCAAAAACATGGCAAATACCTGCGTTGGACCACTCGTTTTGGCGATGTTTGTATAAAACATAGAACTAATCATCAACCACGTGACCGGTCCTCCCCTGATGACAACCCCTACTGCCCCGCCACGTGGTTGATCGCCTTGTTCTTTGAAATCCCGGCGTTGTGCTCGGATGGTTGTCAGTGAAATTTCCTTGCCGATTGTAGCCCACTTGGTTGGACAGGCACGTGATCCCCAAGACCAACTAAGTGGGGTCTTCGAAGTTGGGCGGCTGAAGCAAGCGAGATGGTGCAAAGCATTGAGGTATTGCGGCAGCGGCAATACCTCTAGTTGGTAATGGCCAAGAACATCTTGGCCAACTCGACGCATCCCGAATTCAGCAAGGTATATCGTACGACAAGTGCGAGTCAATGCAGCATCTCGGACGCCAAGGTATCACCAAGCGCCTTCGTTCCCAACGTCCGCAAGCACTGCCTTGGACAATCAGGATGACGGGTTCCGTTCCTCTCAAATGCTAGAGTTCATATCGAATAGAGTCCGTTGTGTGGCATCATTGGGATCGTGTCGTTTGTGCCTCGCTTGTCAGTAACGTCATGACTAATTTCTGTCAATCAAGTACAGGTCCTGCTACTGTATCAAGAACGGTGAAGCTGGTCCCCATAAACTTGATGTCGTGGATGCGTGGATGTGTAATGTTGTATCAATCCATCGATCTATTAGGCCTCCGTGTCAAATACTGCATTCTGATCAAATTGTCCGATATATTGAATATACATGTAGATACATTGAATATACCTGTAGATATATTGAATATACCTGTAGATATAATGAATTAAACATCATTCTTGATCATGACCCGAGTTATTACGATACAAGATATTTGTGTAATAGATCGATACCTCACGCACAGATCGAGTTATTTCGTAAATGACACATAATTTGATCAATACCTGTGGATATTTATTACTTCCTCTGTTCCGTAAAGGTGGAGACCATTGTGTTTGGGCAAATTGTTATCTTACAATTTGTATACCCGATTTCACAGAAATGTGTATTTTTATTCAAAAACAAGTGTTTACGACGAGATCGGTCATGACCTGCTGCAGTGCCAAGTGCCAGCACTAGTCGACATTGAAGCAGTCGACACCTTTCAAGGAAGGACATGCACCATGAGTGCCGATGGTGCGCTTGGTGCGGTCCTGGATGAAGCACCTGCTGGAGTTCCTGACCGGCAGCCAGCACTTCCTCCAGGGCCGCACCATGCTCACCATCAGCAATCGAGGTCCGGGCATTCACCCAACGAGTACTGATGATGCAAACGATACGGTCCAGGAAGAAGCGCCTGCTGGAATCAATGGCCGTCAAGTAGCGCTTCCTCGACGGCGGCAACGTTTGCATCATCAATACTTGGTTTGTGCATGTCCGACCACAATGTTCCGGCCGATCAGGCACTCCACCTGCTCGATCAGACGAGCATCATAATTTTTTGCAGGAGTTAGTTGTTGTGGAGTGCACCGTGTACATCACGTGCACTTAGAACGGGTAGCAGGGTGCGTTCTGCACGCGAAAATGGGAAAACGTTCACGCTCGGGATGCAAATGGCCAGGACACAGGCCACCTCACTTGGTCGTGGTCTTGTTTTTTATGTAACTCCTTCTCCAGCAATGCAAATGCAACGCTGATGTGTGCTAGCGACATCTAGGCAACGAGACGAATCGTTTGCGATCGCATTCGACTCAATTGGAGGAGAAATGCCTCATCCACGGGTGTTTGTAGATTTGCTGTCATCAACTTTTGACTTTGACGAACTGTTGTGAAGCGGTTTGAAGCAATAAAATAAATCTAAAAATAGCTGCTTACTCGTCCTTTCATTGGCTACATTTGAGCCAATTTTCAGACAATTATGTTGAATTTGGCCATAGAATGGTACTTTTGACCAAATGGTCTCCACCTTTACGGAACAGAGGATGTAAATAGCATGGCCGACATTTGATGTGCTGATTGTTCATTGATCAGCCAACATGTTTCTACCAATAGCATTGCCTTTCATATCTAATTGGAAAAAACGAAACCTCGTGTCAAATTGAATTTGTGAAACATGATGAAGGGAAAAGAAGGGTTGACGATTTTGAATTGTAATGCCACCACGAACGATGTACACGCACGGCACCATGAGTGTTGCCATGCAAGAAGTGCTATCCAAAATGCACACAGTGTCCACAGCAGCGAAAGCGTATGACATCCCTCCATGTACGCTTCGAAAGCATGTGATGGATACAATCAACGGCGTAAACAACGACACACTGGTGACGATGCGACGCGTGCACACCTGCGAAGGCAATTTGAAGACGATCTGGTCGCGTGGATTCTTGCCATGGAACGTGATGGCCATCCAATTGGATGCCATCATATTGGGCTGGTGCCGACAGGCGAAAACGAGAAATGGGAATATGATACTCGCATCCACTCGTTTCAATCCAATTAAGGAGGTTTAATAATGTTCTAAAGGTTATGTGAACGTTGCTTTCACCGTTGATGTCTCCGCGGATTTCACCGCTGTGGTCAGTGAACATATAACGGATACATCGGTATTTATCGTCGGTGTGATCACCGGTGAAATCATCCATGGTGTTATGTGGTTTGAGTGGTTGAAATGGTGATGAGTCCGATGAGCTTGTTGAGCTATTTTGTGCGAAATTGTAGCGGAGAGTGTAAACATGTGTTATTTATAGCCAATAGAAGCCAGTACCACTGTTGCCAACCCTGGTTGGCAACAGTGGATAGTCATGAGCGGACGATTAAGTGGGCTAACTAGGGGCCGAGGACTTTGGCCTTTCATGATTGGCCTTTGGAGAAGCCGCAACAACCTGGAACGCGTGGTGTAGTGATTTCAGCTCAAAACTGTTGGGTAATTTTAATGGACTTAAAATTGAATTGCGAGAATTTCTAAAAACCAATTAATATAATAGTAAAACATTGCCTCAAATATGACTAGAAGTTGGTCACAATTTGTGATCAACACCACTTTCGTAGCTATCTAAGAAAGTACATGCTTTGACATCGAATTTCTCTCTCGTAGCTTGATTACGTGCGGTGTCATGAATGTAGATATTGCAAACTTAGTTGCGGGCTATCGTTCAAACCTAGAAATCTGGCGATTGAAACATTGTAGCATGAGTGATGAATCCTATAAGCAGCAAAAAAAACAAAATAAAACGTACTTTGCAAGTAGTTAACTCGATGAATATAGCGCGTAGCGGCCTCTACGATACGTCATTATGTAGAAATTATGCTTGTGAATACAGAACCGAGTCTCCGGCTGATCGGTTTACCGTATTTCGTAACACGAGTTAGACAGACATTACGTGTTAGACACTCTCTAAAATTATGCTGTTAGCTCGAAACACAATGTCAGTTTCGCACGATAATACTTTCGCGCGAATATAACCATTTAAATCAAATAAGTACTGCATAATCACATATGAATTTTGGCCTCAGTCGCGACTTCAGAGGACGATTCCATGCGACGTCGGTAGGTTGACACGGACTTGTTAGATTTGTCCGCAGGGGTATTCCAGTTGCAGTAGAGCGTAGCGCGGTAGAGATCCCGACCCTATCATTATGAATAGGATGCGTTGTATTACTTGAGAGCTATGACCAGTACGGCAAACCGTAAAATCACAAGTCTGCCCCAGGCCTGGATACGTTCGGTGAATGCAATGGCATCGCCAAGCAGGTCGCCAGGCTGTAGCTGGCGCTCTGGTCCTGCGTCACAACCTTGGTCGGTTTCGGAATCAGAATCGATGCCTTCGTTCTCGCCACTGGAATTGTGTGCAAGTGGCCATCGGACGGCATGGTTAGACCCCTGGCTGCCGTCCTCGGAGGATACATCTGACTCAACTGCGTCCATGTGGGGGTGCTGGTGGGGGATTGATCTGGGGGTGGCTGTTGCATGGAGATTGCAATATGGCGGCATGTTGTAACCACATAACGATCCGGATAATACGACATGGTTATCCGGATAATACGTTATAGTTATCGGTATTATTCAGTGAGTCGAAAGCTCATGAGCCGATAAGTCATTGCCCCACTAACAAGACACCTACTAGTACAGTACTACATCATAGTAAATTGCAACAACACTACAGTACTTGGTTGTTCATATATCAGTGATTAAAGTGCGACCGGCATCGTTGATGCTGGAAGCGACGCTTTGAGCAGTTCTCTTCAATGCACTCGATACCACCGCTGTGGCTGCTACATAAATCATTCGTGTACACAAACGCGTGATAACCATTGCTTCACATCTCTTTTCACCGCCATGGAGTTTACACATACCCTTAGATCATCAGCGAGGAGAAACAGTCGAAGAGTGAATAATTCATGCTACCCTACGTTCACTTCAGCGGTTCCAGTTAATATCAGGTTTCCGAGGTAATAGATATATTGCTACCTTCGAAATTTGATTTTTGAATAATAATAATATATCGATATCTACGACTTTCAATAATAGGTTACTACTCTGACCCTTAAAGGTTGTCACGTTGTTTTGACTTGATTAAAGTATGGACGACAGTAGAAAATATCTCGAAGTTTGTCTGGGATTCCAAAACTGCATATTCCCCAGCAATATTTATAACGTGTCCGACCATTGATGGGCCAACTTATTTCATCCAATTAAAACGCCAATCAACTCTGATTGGACAAAAGGCAACCTCTCGACAAATTTAACCTGCATAAATAAATGGAGGGAAAAATTATTACATATTAAAGGTTCTTCAATTTTTGAACCGACGAAATACCGGCAAGAACGCCATACACTCAGGTCACCATGGGCAAGGCCGTCCACGATGTGTTAAGCAAAGTACACACGGCATCAACTGCTGCGGAGGCCTATGCCGTTCCGTCGCGGACGCTTCGGAAGCATTTGGCAAAAGCTGACCCCGACGTCATCGAAATATCTTTCGGTCGAGCACCCATCCTACCGCGGCAGTACGACGAAGATCTGGCTACTTGGATTGTCGGCATGGAGCGCTGTAGAAATGGACAATGAGGTCAACATTGTTGAAGTAGTAGAAATTTGAATAATCTAATCGATTAGTTGCAAAGTGGTTGGTATTGTTTGCAATTTCAAGTTAAAGGACAGTTAATAGAGTAAATGTTATTATTGTTTATGCTATTAATAAATGTTGTTGTTGTTCGAAGTTAAAAAACGTTATACTAACTGTTATGATTTATGCTATATTCAGATTCCTTAGGCACCGTGCCCACCTCGAAGAATAATCTTCACTGGTTAACCTTTGCCCTGACCCAACCTACTCCCGTTGTAGAGGAGTTTTACAGTGTGAGGGTACGGAAGGGATGCAGGCAGACTTTGTGGTGGCGAAACTTACGCCGCTGACACCCGCAATGGACACTAGAAGGAATATTGCTGAATGACACACAAACCAGGTTGTCAAAGTATCGTACAACGGGGCTTTGCGTATAGTCACCAACGTTTTGCACAAACGAGCTATATTGCACAAACGAGTTACAATATGAGGTGTATATTATTCCACGTCTGCCTATAACATTGGAAATGTTTTTTTCCAACTGAGACTCCAATACGTGATACCTGTTCAGACTTGGTTAACCTCTATTAATTTTTATTTCTCGCTGGGTGTAAAAAAACTGACACCTGGATTCTTAATAATTAATTCAAGTATAAAAGTTGGCCCATCAATGGTCGACTGTGTAAAGTGCTCGACTTCAAAAAAATCCTGTACATTCCTAAACTGTTTAAGTCGATATCCTTCGAGTTATTCATAAAGTACTCATCATTACCTATCCAAAAATGTATCATTCCCACTCGGAAAACAAAAAACAACCGAAATAATTGAGATTAAAAATGAAAAAAAGTTGGCCCATCAATGGTCGGACACGTTATCGTATTTTTTTTAAACCTAGGACTGAACTTGTTCTGGAGAATTCACCAGCGCCTCCAATTGAGACTCCTCTCCCAAACGACAATTCATCTGGATATTTGAATCTTCAAAAATGATCGAACTGCATTGGACATTGAATGTTGCCAAGTCCGAAATGGTAGCATCCTTTTTTGTGTGAGGAAGCTTGTAGTCATTGCTACCGTTCATTCAATAGACTTGTGCATGACATTTTGCAATGTTATGAATGTTTTGACAGCAATTCATAAAACGCAGCTTCCACAGCATCAATGAGCTTTTCAATTGTTCAAGGACACTTTTGATACTGTAGACTTTGAAGATACTGTTAAAGAAACCTAAGTCTAGCATATTGAAGTCTGGACTATTCGCTGGCTGATTTGCTACACTAATCCCCCGAACACCACGACTATACATAAAAGCAGTCGTTACGCAACGGTGAGGGCTTGCATTATCCTGTTCAATGATGACGCCACGAAACTGGTCTCCGGCTGGAAACCTGGCCTTCATGGCTGGTACGACCTTGTCCACGATGGCGTCTCTGTAAACATCGCCGTTTACAGAGACTGGAAGTAGACTCCACTTGTTGAAGGTCGAACAAAATTCATTGCGAAGTCGAGGCGCGCCTTCGTGTTGTCTTGAGTGAGCAGCGGCTTGACGTAGCTCGAGCCCGCCTTGAGTCGTTTGGTCTCGCTCATGTGGCGTATGATCGTCGTCTTTGGTATCTTGGATTGGTACGCCAAAGACCGGAGGGTTTGCCGAGTAAAATGCGGAACCGACTTGATGCTTTTCTCGATCTCTTATGCTGAGCGTACCTTTTTACGCCCGACATTGCCTAAAATAGTAAACCCGTATAAACGCATACTTCTATAAACCCATAAATTCGACAGGAAATATTAAATTTTGCAGAATTTACCCTTGAGTTGGGATGCAACATGCGCAACCTCGTTGCCGTTGGCGAGGGACGCTCGTCCTCGTACCCACACACGAGATATGGTGCGCCAGTGACACTCATACTTTAGAGCAAGGTCCTGCATAGCTCCGTACGGAAGCTTTCCATGTGACGACCTCTCTAACAGCGTATCGTAGATGACGTGACGCTGGTCCGCCGTCAGGTTTCCTCGCGCTGGTGTGACGCCAGGCGGACTCAGACAGGTAGCGGAGGTTGTGGTAGCCGTCGACAGCGTAGCTGGCATGAGGATTGCAAAGTTTGAAGGCGTAATATCCAAAACTGACTTCTCTCCGGAGGAGTTTGTGTGTTCGGTACATAACATGGTCCGGTTTTCATGACATAACTTTTGCAGCAAAACGAGCTGGAACATGAATAAACCAGCCAATCAAAGAGGAGATCTTGCGCTTTCTACTGCACCAATCAGTTGTTGATATTGCTCATTTTTAGAAAAATTCCGCCAATTACAAGACAATATGACAATCTTTACGGGCCAGAGTAGTATTGTTACCCCAACCAAATATCGATATACTGTCACAGTGTACAACAGCATAGTCAGGATCGAACTCGTGGCCAATTGCAATGACTGGTACTGGTGTTTATCAAGTACTATCAGTCTGAGGATACCTCCGCGATTAAATTTGCAACATGCAGTACGTGGTACAAAGGATAACCTGGTGAAATGCTGGGTGTCGGTTGCAAGTAGCACTTTGAGGGGTGAAATATTTGCTTTGCAAAGGCAGTGCAAGAAACATTTTTTAATGCATATAGTGTATATAGTCAAAATTTACTTTCGTATTCAAACATTCTACCCCTTGTATGTTCCGTTCACACGAAGGAAAATCTCAAAGTTGACTGGATGCATGTGCTTCCGTGAGCTCGTCAGGATGTGCTTGGCAACTCTGAAGAACCGCTCAATAATTTACTTGTAGGCAGCATGCACTTCAGGTTGATGCAGCTTCTTTGTCACACTCTCAAACATCACAAGCTGGTCCAGAAGGGATGCCACTTTTTCGTTCAGGTCCCGATGGAGCAACACGTCATCACCGACGCCACCTTGCTGAGGAACAGCAACAACTCCACCTACCGGCTGACCATCTTGAACGTTGATGACCATCGCGTGACGTTTCGGATAACAGGTTGCAAGTTGGTGAAGTGTTTTAACTCACCAAGGGGACGTTGACGTCCGAGACGGAGCATGAGGATATGAATCGCTTTGAGGGCGTCCTCGTAGTCAGCGAGGTACGACTGCATGGCCAGATTGAACTTGTGCGAGTAGCACCCCACAAGAGGTACCCCAAGCTTAATCGCGATGGATGCGTTGGTGGGACAGTTGTCTGCTGTGATGAACGTGATGTCTGACGCTGCTTTGCCGTAGAAGCTCAACGTTGATTCAATCAAGTCCACGTGCGAGTTAGCATCGAGATTGTCCTCCTTCAACAAGGGCGACATGGCAAGCAAAGGGGCGACGCAAGTGTTGCCGATACAATACCACGCGAAGATGGCTCAAAAGTGGCGTTTGCCGTCTAAAGAGTGCCCGAACACCTGAGGCAGTTCCACTGCGAGTTTTGATTCGACTGCCTTGATCAACTTCTCCATCGCCGTTTTCAAGGTCGTGGTACAAAGTTGCAGGCGTGACATTTTAGAGTTGAGGGGTCCTCAACAGCACTGAATGGTTGAATCCGGTCAGCATTTCAGCGCGCCCACTCATGCAAGTTGGTGATTTTGACATCAATGAAGCCGTGGGCCTGAAGTGTTTCGTTGGTGTTCCGCGCGGTCTCAAACGCGGCGCGGTAGTCACCGTGTGCTGCGTCGAGATATGCTTACTGTAGTAGGTTCGAGTAACCTGCTAACAGTTGCTTGGTCCGCTTTTTCCCCCACACCTTGTACAAATACACCGACTTAAGGAGCGCGGTGTAGTAGTATTCGATCAGTTCCTTTGTCTTGTACGCCATAGTGTTTGGAAATGAAAATAATTATTGAAGATTTCAAGATAGATTAATTTTGGCTACTGTCATCAAAAATAGAAAATCTTTTCCAACGCCATTTCAAAAATAGATGATTTGCGACATTTTATCGTAATTATTACTTCGACGATATATTATCTTGGAAGCCTGGTTAGTATCAAGAGAAGTGAAATATATATTATTAATATTATGTACAGTGGGTACGGAAAGTTTAATTCCACCTGTCAAATTTTCAAAAAAAAAGAAGATCAATTCACAAATATTCCTTACCTGGGTGTAACTTTAGGGAGGATAAAATATTGCCACACAAGAATTGCTGAGGACCACAGAGGAATTGCTGAGAACCACTTAAGAATTGCTGAATCGCACATGCTTTATGCTGAAGAACACATGAGATTTGCTGAATTGAATATAGAGTATGTACACAACGAGATCCACTACGGCAGGCAGTTCGTTATGAGAATTACTGGACATATGTGACTAGGAGCAATGTGATTGGTTATTAAACTCACATTTCAATGTGATTGGCTATTGTAAATGAATTCAGAGCATGTGATTGGCTATTTCTCACTAAGTTTTGTGATTTCAGGAGTGGGAGTACGTAACTGTAGCTACTAAAATTAGATCTGCTCAATGAGTACTCAATACTGAACAGATCTAAAATTAGATCTGTTCAGTATTGAGTACTCATTGAGCTGTTTGTTCGCTGTTACTCCTCCGGGGGTGTGTGGTCAAATAGTCAAGAATTTGCTAA